TAGAGTGGTCTTCCATGCGGTATTTCACCAGTTTAATGAAGATATAAATATATGAGCTTTTAGGTTATAAGATATCCCAGGGGAGAGACGCGTTAGATTATGAAAAGCTGAAGAAAACACCAAACTATAGAATCAATTCGCAGGAAGTACTGTTAGTCTGCATAAAATATACTCAGAACCTAACACATCGGTTGTTTTATTATCCAACTGAAATCATAAGCAAAGGATTGAAAGCTACAAACAATTCATCGTTGAATAAAGCTGAATTATCAAAAAGTAAAAAAGGTAAAACACATACAACTGATGCGTTGCTTTATGCATTTAAATTCTATCAATATAAAGAAAACGAATTAGCTAAAGATTAAAGAGAGATTTAGCCACAAATCACTTTCCACAGCTATGATAATCTGCAAGCGCGTTTTAGGTAGGGAGAAAGAATATTTATACGGTGAAACGGAGCAATGAAGGGAGAACCTAGTTCTTTATCAAAAGATGGTAGTATCTTTGATACTTTTAATTATATATTTAATCATTTAGCACTCTGTAGCTAAATCTCACTATAATCACATTGCTGTCGAGAAGATGCACTTGGTGGTGATGAATGCCCCCCAACGTCTTTGCTGCCGGAACATGCTCCTCAAATAGTTTGAAATCAGCGTAAGGTAATGGTAACTGGAATTTCATAATCCATCAGCCCTAAGTATATATATATATATATATATATATATATATATATATATATATATATATATATATATATATATATATATGTACACACATATATATATACATATATGTGTGTGTGTGTGTGTGTGTGTGTGTGTGTATTTCTATTTCATTTGATTGTTGTAATCCAGAAATTCACTGAATTACCGATTACTGGCTTGAATTACATCCTTTGATTTATTACTGGATAATCGACTCATTCAGAGGGTAGTAATGAGTGGGCATTTGGGGGAAAGTGTTGCAAGCTGTCCCTGGGCCAGGAACTGAGGAACTGGGTTCTCGGCTACTGGGTTGGCAAACTTGTACTTGACAATTATTGTGTGCAGCGTCTCACGGGAAACTCGCTGTATATATGTCATTAACAACTGTGCTGCTGTAGATTTTACGTTCGTAGTTAGTCTATCATTATAATTGTTGGAAAACACTCTAGATCTTTTCGAAGTATTCTCTACAGACTGTGATCGGTTTGTACATGAATTTTATTCCATATGCATTGGCTCAAATGTCGACATAGCCCGATTTTCTTGTTATCAATCACTGCTTCTATAATATGATTTTGTTAAATCAGCACCGTTATTATTATTCTCAGCACAATTGATTATTTTCATTATCAGTAGTATTATAATCACTGGCAATATTCCTGTCATCCTCATTATCATTCTCATCGCCACCTTGGTCATCATCAGCATTATTTCCAAGTGACCTTCAGGAAATAAAAGACAGCCACAACCCTTCCGCCGACCTTTCTTGTCTCCCTCTCGCCACTCCCTTCCCTCTGTTAAGGTCGAGGGCGAAGTAAGGGGAAGATAAGGTCGAAAGTCCATCCACGTCTCACGACATTTAGGGCGAACTGTCCTTTTAGATTAAGAATCTCGTTGTATACATAATGACCTTCTCGTAAATTGATATAATATGCTGGAGCAGTTATATGCAATATTGTTACTGATATTAACGAAATGCTGCATGAATGTGGTGGATATTATCAATATCACACTGTACCTCCCAAATGATAAAGCTCCAGATTTCTCTGTCTTATTGAAATACAATGTTTTATTTTTAATGAGTTAACCATAAATCAAAACACCAAAACTAAACTTTAACAAAACCATGAATGTTAAAACGATTGTTATCCAAACATTATATCACACTTCCAGTCAAACATTTCCGAAACAGTTTTTTTTTTCTAAGAATGAAAAAAATATATAATGTCTCTTTGATCCCCACCGCTTGCGTGGGAAAATATAACAGTAATTTAAAGGAATCCAGTGCCAAGTGCCATGGCAATTGTCAGAGAAGAGCACTTGGAACATTAGGAATTCTTCGTGGTCTTTGTCGTCGTTGATTCAACTGAAGCATGTCTCACAATTGCCTCAAATTTTGCATCGCGGATGTAAGTGTGAAATTGTAACTATATATATATATATATATTTGTGCAAAGTTTTGTGTGGTAAAAATGAAAATTTAAATAGAAAAGGCTGAAAAAAGCAAAGCCTAGATGAGCTAAACTCATAACTATTTACTTAATATCATGTGTTTGGTGAATTTTGTGCATGCGTTTAACCGTGCTTAGGTACATCACTCAGCTTTACAAATATTAGTTGAATCTCTGTAATCAAACTTCTTTGCTTGTAACTATACTTGCAACCTTCTTACGTTCTGACACCTTCCCAGTGGCCGCCCTACACCATGTTCCAGACATGGAGTCCGCCCTACAAGGTGGCCGGAAGTACAGTAGATGTCATCAACATCATAGCCGAAAAACTGGGAATATGGT